GGGTTAATCATAGTTACTTGAGCTGAATAAAGATTACTGTTTTGCTACCTATCTTGCCGCGTCCTTCTCTCCGCCCCAAGATGCAAAACACAGGATATAATGCATTAAATTACAATGTGGCTGGTTCATGCATTGTGCAAAGCCAGCCAATGTCCAATCTTACTCGTAGCGTAATCAGGGAGCCAAGTCAACAAGTGACTCCAAATATTGGAAATGATTGCACATTGAGTCCCAGTTGCTTCAGAGGTTCGTGGACCAAAGTACAACACTTGGATTATGAATTACCTTGCACAGCAGTAAAAAGCAATGCTTATCCTCTATTTCATGGTCAGGACCCCAATCCCACTTGAGTTATTTTGGCATCAGAGGGAGAAAGAACCTTAAGCCCATTATCCTACTTTATGACAGTAAAACTAAGATATTATATGGCATTACTTTTAACTTCATGAAAGGCGTAAATGTCATACCTATTTTCTTCTTTAAAGGGATTTTCTTACTCTACTTACAACAAACTGCTTTGAGCTTTTGGAATTGATGTAGGAATAACAACAAAAATCTTGGTGAACAGCTGGTGCAGCTGGGAATTAAATAAGTAAATCTGTTGTTTGGGGAGGATATATTTTGAGAGGGGGAATAAAAGCGCAGGTTTGGGACTGGCCCTAAATTAAACCAATATTATCACACGTGCACAGCCTTAATTTGCACCTTTTAGGATAAAAGGATAGAAATCATTACAGCTGTTTTGAAACAGCTTGAAAAATAGAGGGAAATTGAGAAAGTTATAAACGGAAGCATTAGCTGAGCAGTGACTCAAAGCCTTCTACCATCTGTTTGCTTTCCTCTCTTTCAAAGGCTCCTGCTGCCAAGTACAATAAAAAGAGGAAAATAAAGCAATATTGACCACAGCCACTCCAGCACACGAGACAGCTGCAGAATCTTCTTCAAACTGAATTCTCTGCACCAGTACACTAGATCATGATGTTCAGTTGGCAAAGAGCTACTTGGTGGTAAGCACACCTTGGCTCTGATCCAGATAGCTGCCATGCATCAACCTGTCCTGCACAATATGAGACAATGGATAGGGTAACAGAATGGTTATTATTTCTTTAACTTTTCATCATCCAGAGGCTGTGAGTGGAGCTGTTTTAGATTGTAAAGTGGCTAGTCAGTCCCCTCCTGACTATTCTACTGAACATAGCCCTGGGGGTGTGCCCTAAATTCTATGATAAAGTGGATCAGGGGTGAAATTCAGCAGGTTTCTGGAGAACTGGTAGTGGAAATTTTGAGTAGTTCGGAGAACCAGCAAATACCACCTCTGGCTGGCGACACATCACTCTTACCTTTCAGCTGTGGCTGCTATTGCTATTATAACCCAAAAGGTCCCACTCACACATAAGAGGTCAGTATCAACAATACTATGTAGGAAGTTAGCACCCATCCTTCTCCTAGAAAAATGAAATATTCAAGAAATATTAAAAGGCAGAATATTATACGCATTTCCCTGGATGAGAAATGGAGAAACATGTTTTTTTAGGCAGGAAGCAGACTCACCCTTAATAGCCCCCACCCTCCTCAACAGCCCACAGTAGATGTCCACACTTAAGAGATAGCTAGATCTATTCATAGGCAAACGCCCTCACTCAAGACCCAACAAAGGTAGGATTAACCCTCTACCCTTCTCACCACATGGCACCTGGGAAGATAATACCACCCAGGAAGCCTGGAACTCAGGACAGCCTACAGAGTTGCTCCTGCATGGCCCCATTGGAGTCTGACAACCAATCACAAGCTCAAATTCAAAAGCCCAAAGAGGCAGAGGTGGATTGTTGCCGGTTTGGTCTGGTTTGGTCAAACCAGTAGTGGAATTCAGGCCTGGCTCGCAGAACCGGCAGCAACCCAGGCCTGACATGCCCTCGAATCAGTTCTCTTGTGTCTTCTGCTGTTGTCGGCATGGTTCTATGCATGCACAGAGCAATTTTTAGTCAAATGCACATGTGCAAGCAATGCGTAGCCATTGCATGAACGAGCTAATCAGTACTAACCAGTTCAGGAGCTCACCCCTGCAGAGAAGGTATAAAACTCAGGCATTCTCAGCAACTTTTCCCTTTTTTTTCTTCACCCAACATCTTCAAGGCATGTGATCCTGTCCAACATTAAAACCATATTTCCAAACAGCCACCATATTTCCAGTGTCTTTCTCCCCACTTGGAACTGAACCCAGAACGAAGTTTCTTCCAACAACTAAAGAAATACAAGAAAGTTTTGACACAGTGGTGGGTTCCAGATTTTGGTGCAATGGGGCCGGCATCCACTACATGAACGCGCACAGCGCACGCATGCGTACTTACTGCCTGCGATGCTCCGCAACACCTCTGCGATGCTCCAACTGCTTGGCAGAGTGTTGCACAGGCGCTGTAGGCTCCATGCGCTTACATGGAAGCCCCGAAGAGCTCAAATACAGGTAAGGATGGCGGGCGGGTGGGCCCTCCAGAGCACTGTACCAGAATAGTACCCGGTGCTCCTGGCAGGCACCAGTATGCTCGTACTGGGGCGTACTAGTCGTAACCCACCACTATTTTGACAGGACCCTCAAACTTAGAGAGGTTGTTTTTCCAAAATAAAATCCTAATTGCTGGAGAAGGGGAAAAACTGGGGCAGTCAGAGGGAAAGGAACGAACAGAATACCGTATCCCAGATGGTTAAACAGGAGCATGTCATAAAGACTATTGCTCTCTATAGGGAACAACTTGTTATTTCCCATAATTGGTTAGGTCATGCCTACAGTAATTGGGTTGAGGCTGCAAGAAGAAAGGTGTGAGGTCTCAAAACTCCTCTCCCAAAAATTGCATATATGCTAAGTATAAGAAAAATAGCAGAACTTCAGTTACACTATAACTACTATCTTGACCCTTTTGACCAAAATGGAAGTTGATCTTCCATCACAACCAACTTCTTTCATGTTAAAGCGTCTGCTTAAATTTATGTTTGTTATATAAAATTGGCAGCTGCCAGGGCAAACTTTGGAAAGACCTAGCTAAGTGTTAATTATTTACCCCCTTATCTATAACACTTCAGTGGGAAGAGCGCTCTGTGAGGTCATGCTGGCCACATGAGCATAGAAATGTCTTTGGACAACATGGGCTCAATGATTGAAACAGAGATGAGTA